ATAGTAACAAATTTGAATCTCCAGTTTCTAGTATTCATATAGTCATTTTGAAGTGTGGATAGGCGAATATCTATCCGAATTCAAAGGGCAGAAACAACTATATATATGTGTCTATGCTCATGGGCATGATGGCATCACATTCACATAGAAGGCACGTAAGTTGGGGGATTCAGGTTCAGGGCATCTCCATTGTCAATTACTGGGAGTCTGGATCATTTGGCAACTTTACTCTAGATTCGGGTGGTCTGATCACAAGCAGGATGGCCCGGTTCAACGTGCGTACCCAAATAATATTGTGGTGCTTTCCAGGTCAAGGCCGAGGGGAATCATGTCATCTCACCAGTCAGCCTTAATCGATCCCAACCATTGTCAAGGGAATCAGCCTTATTAATCCCAACGCTGGAGTTTATTTGATTGTATGAGCAAGTCTTAGATCAAATGGAGCCCTTTAATTTGGCCGGTAGCCTAGCTATTAATACTTCTTGGTCAAATACCCAATGATCTGATTTCAGTTATTGGCAGGTAGGTCCTAGCGGTGTCGACCCGGCCCCTGCAGCAAAGACAAGACGAGAGAAGAGAGTGAGTGGGTGAACGTGAAATAACAGCGTGGACAGTGGAGTGAGGACTGAGGAGTGAGGACTAGTAGTGTTGTAGCCTCAAAGAAGCTAGGCATACGATACGAGGTCGATTTGTAGGGGTTGCAAATGGGCCCACGACGAAATGATAGCAGACGCTTGACCAAACATCCCCTAACCAGCAGAGCAGTGAGTGCCCTCCGGCCATGCGGCCACCACACACACACGCATGCAGAATATTCTAGGGCATGAATCTATCTATCAAGTTGTGATAGTTAAAACAGGTTTCATTCAAGTACTACCAAGTCGGAACATGAGGGTCAGACAATGCGAGCCACGGACCAAACAAACGGTCTAGGCCTAGTTGTACGGTGGGCCTTGACTCTTGCCAGACAAGTTGCCAACATGCATATGGATCTGCAATCAACAATGAATGAATCAAACTATCAAATACTTTTTTCAAGTTCAATGGCAATTGGCAATCTTACGGTGCTATATCATTGTCATGTGGACATTTATCACATCATGCTATTTTGTATGTTTTGCAATCTTATAATTGAAAATTTTGATTTATATGTCAGCCAATTGTTAGAGAAAATTTCATTTTAACATTTTTTCCAACACAAAAGTACTTATTTACCGTTCCACTGATATGGTGCATAATGACATCTATCTATCAATAAATACCAGAAAAACGTTTATCAATCATTTTTTTCTCGGTTTTAAAGATAAATCAAATATAAACAAAAGCTATACCAAATATATTAGAGAGAGTGGGGCAATGTGGCGTATTACCCTTTGTGCTTTATAGTAACAGATAGTATGTACTATGTAAGGGAGAATGTAATGAAATAACGAAGAACAGTGTTGTTTGGCATCGTTTTGGTAAAAAGAAGAGAAGGATGTGAGTTGGGGTACCCCAATTTCTTTTAATTGAGATCACCTAATTTGTATAGGCCCCCCCAATTTCTTTTAATTGAGATCACCTAATTTGTATAGGCCACAGACAGACAAGGGCAATCAGGGCATCTCTCTCTCTCTGCCATGGAGAAGAAACCAGAAGGAAGAGCGTCAGGACATGAGACCAGTTAGGTTTAGTTTCCTAGGACCCTGTCCCCTGATTCCACGGCCAAATTGGTTGATCCAAAGGACTTACCCATCACTGGGTGCTCAAACATTCACCCTTCCACTAGCGAGTCTCCCCCTTTCACCCTGTCATCCATCTGTCACACACCCCCCCCCCCCCCAAATTATATTCCCATTGCACTTTTTTTTTTCTTACTTCCAATCCTATTTTGTTACTTTTCAAATTTTCGTTGCTAACAAAGCAATGCAGTATAAAATGTAGGTAGAGTCAATGAAAACACTAAACAAGCAGTGGAGATGGCAAAGATGGGAGGGAGTAGAGTAGGAATACCCAAACTGATTTGTTTTTAATAGGCCTTTGACTTGTATTTTTTCCCCATCTTCAATAGTAATTAAGCACAATAAATACATGTATGTGTAGTTTAGTATCTCCTCCTCCATTATTATGAAGCTAATCAATCTTTACTATAGTTTTGTTTTTTTTTTTTTTGTTTCTTTAAGTGAAGTAAAACTGGAACCCACCTGACACTCACAACCCACTTTAATTGCTTTGTAGCTTGAATCCGCACTAGCGCTGATCTAATGGTCAGAAAGTGACTTATCATAACACCTTAGTGCCCCACTGAAGTGCCTTACTTTTCTTTATGGTCACACATAAATGATTTAGAGAAACATAAGATTTTTCGTTCCAAATTCCAATATCAATGTAAAAGTGACCGTCTATTGGTTAACATATATAATTATCGTTCAGCAAACTTATTTGAGTTGATGAGTGTATGTGGCTTGTGTTATCATGATGATGTGGGTTGTTGGTTCTCACATGGTGGTATGAACAAGCTTTACAAGTGGTTATAATTGGAGTAGAGCTTTTTAGGGTTTTGAGATTTGTTTGGTTCTGCACGGTGTTAGTGTATTGAATGAAGATAGATAGGGATCATGGCATCTCTCTCTCTCTGTCTGCTCCAAAGTCTAATCATCATATCATGTGTGCCTGCAGAATGACGGCCATCACCTAAGCCTTTTGAGGTTGAGAGCTCAGATATCATTCGGTTCACTCACAGTCACAGTTGGGGGGCAAGACATTGCATGATAATTTGGGAAGAGGAGTGTTGTGTTGTAGACATGCTTTGTGGGAAAAAAAGAAAGAAAGAAAGAAATTGGTGGAAGCGCAGGAGATGGTGAGTGGTTAATACAATTAAGTGCCATCTCTATCAACTTCTGCCTTATGTCTGCCTGTCTTCAGTAGTGCATCCCCCAATTGTCTGTCCGGTTCTATACACATTCATTCTCCCCTCCCAAAAAGGTTGCTAAAGAATACTATGGATAAGCTACTGGCCAAGGCTAAAGTTTGGGTCCTCCCTCCTACAGGTCTCTACTAATAATCGAGTCTTAATTTGAAACTCAACAACTTTGTTCTGTTCAAGCTGGCAATCAGTTGCACGTGGCCAGTGGTTTCACTATTCTTTAAGTGGGTCTCGCCTTCTGAGTTTATATATATATATATATATATATATTATAACTATCTTTGTTAGTTGTTACACTGGCAGATTGAAACAATTAAGCCCAAAACATTGATTTTTGATTTTCACCCATGCATTTTACAGGGAAACAAATTCTAGCCGCTGAAATGGAATTAGCATTCCGTGAGTGTTGGTTTTTCATCTCTTGTGACCGACCAATTTGATGACACATACACACACTGGATGCATGTATGGATTATTAGGTTTAGGAAAATTGAGGATACCTTTTTGTTTCTTTTGGTTTCAAGGAAGATTAGCTTCAGACTCTTTTGGGATTTGATCCTTTAACTGTAGTCTCACAAATGAACTGAATTATCTTATCCAGAGCTAATGGGTGTTGACATCCTCTTTGGATAATATTCTCAGGATGAAACCAAAGGAAAAGAAAACCATTAAATTGACCACCCATCATCCGCCATATCAAATGATTGTTTTCTTTTTCTTTTTTAATTTCACTTTATTAGTGATGCAATAATTGCTTTTAGTTTTAGCTCTCTTAAATTAAAACCGTATTATTTTTTTTTTGTTTGAAAGCCCTTCGGCTTCTTTCTCTCGGCCCATAGTCAAATTAAGTGGGCCCATGACAGCTGACGTAGCCACATATATATAAATCGAAAAGGCATTCTGGCGTGACAGGAGCACCAAGGCCCAAATAGAGACGATCTACAAGGACTGGTGATATGGAGAGATACCTGATTTGAGGTCAATTTGGGCCCACTCTTTTTAGATTCTTCATTGAATTGTCCCTCTTTCATATGCTCTTTTATGTTTCACCCGCATCAGTGTGCCTACAATCCAATCTTTCATGCTTTAGAGGTAAGTTAGCTTATTACCTTTTCATTTATTTGTTTTCTTTGACGTAGATCTTGATGTCATGAAGTTTGATCTCCACCTTTTCTTGGATCCTTATCCTCTTCCTGCTCAGTGCAAAAATCCAATTGGAATTGTCTTTGTTGTTGTTACCTGTTAGAGCTATTTCACTTGGTTTAGTGCCTATTAATTCATTGTTAATGATAACAAAACATGAGGTTGGTATCCATTTCTCTATTATAAAGTATAAAATAAATTTTCTTACACTTTAAGTCAAAGATTCAGAATACTAAAGCTGTTCTAAAATCATTGAGCTCATATCCTTGTCTTTTTTTTTTTATTTTAATTTAATTTAAAACCACTTTTGCTAATTTTGGAACTGAATTGGTAAAGACCCATGACCGGGATTAGAATAAAATTATGAACTTGATCCATATTTTATATATACCATGGCAATTTTTTAATATTTTATTACCTTCATAAATATGTCAACTGTACAAATGTCATGTTTTATGGATAATTAATGTTATTTATAGGGATATAGACAAAACTTGACTACCGCATGAACATCTAATCTAAACCATGGAATTCTAGTTGATCACAATAATCTAATAAGAATAATGTTATCAATGCGCCCCTCTGCAAAATTATCCTATTATCTTATAACACTTGTAAGGTGTATATTTACTTAGAAAAATCTATAATAGAATTAATTCGACCAAGCAGAGAGACAAGTTTCTAGTTGCTTCATCTCTATTAGAGCCACTGAAAAGCAGTTAAAGAATTAAGTCTCAAATATAATACTTAATTCCATCAAATTAATTCTATTATAGATTTTTATAAGAAAAAAATAATTCTAAAGTTTAACAGTAAGAAAGCAGCTATAACTGCTCATAACTGAAATAAAAGTGGAAACTCATCGAAGGAAAACGAATGATGCAGAAGTGCTCCCTGAAGTGGTTCGGCACTGCCTGGCGTAGTCGTGCCAAATCCTCCTACAAATGTAAAGGCACATCCATGATCCATGGACCGTGGTTTGAATGACAGAAAAGTAAACAAAGAGATAAACCAACCTTACTAGCCTGCAATTTTTTTTCTAACTCTCGGTATTTTTCACTATGGGCTTGGCCCAGAATTTAAATAAGCCCCATAAGTAAAGAAGTGGGATGCATACAACATAAGTGCCCATCCATACAGGGTCGCTTAGAAGCGCCAAGTTGAATGGGAAATTCTGGTTCATTCAAATACGGGGGGGAAAGGGCGAATAGTAAGGCATGCGTTTACATCTCCTCTCAGTAACATATCGAATGTCCAAATGATATTTGATCAACATCTTCATAACTTTAAACATAGGTTGTCTAAAAAGAGCAAAGAGAAAAAACCACATTACTAACATGTTAATCCTTTATTTCTGGTTAAGTATTAAGCAAACGAACTTCAACAATTTAAAAACCATCAATTATTTTTTTTTTCTTTGGTAAATAAGAATTATCTCATTAAGAAAGAGAAACAGGAAGACCCACACCCCGGGCCAGGGAACCTGCCAACTCATGGGCCAGAATATTGCACTCCCTTTGAACGTGAACAAAACGAACACTAAAGTTTGCAGAGAAAGACAAAATATCGTTCCAGACAGCAGCCAGGAGAGAAAAAACCCAAGAAGGCGGCTTAATTATGGAATCTATCGCTTGTTTGCAGTCCGATTCAATCATCACTTAAATAAACCCAATTAGGCTTGTACAACTTGTTTCTGTAATTTCTGTAATGTATAAAGAGAATAAAGATAATTGATGATTCTAAGATGGGTCTGGTTAACAAACAAAACGAATCCAAATCCATGACAGCACTAACTGCTTGGAATTGCTTGTTTGCCATGATACATTTTCCATCTAGTCTCACTGGCTTTGGTACAAGATACTGAGATAGTGCACTTCTATTGCCTTCCAGGTTTGGATTTGCTAACAAACCCTACTATCAGCACAAAAACAACTTCTAAAGTTCCGACCTGCAACAACCAATGGTTTTGGCATTCACAGGCACATTTGCCAACCAAATGAGAGCCCCATGTTCTTTTTCACTGGTTTAACATTGCTTCATGCTATCAATCTCAAGATACTTTACAAACATCGTAGGATAACAACTCAAGGATCATGTAAATACTATCTGATGCAACATGAGTTTCATCCTTTGTAGTGAACAAGTGTTCCTTCCCCTTTATTTCAACCCAATTCTAACCTAACTCCTTTCTTGCCTCTCTTCCCCTCATACATCTTATAATCTCTGAAATCTCCACCCATCTCCCAATAGATGCATACATCTCAATCACCATTAAGCATGCGCTTGAATTACATGGTTCAAGTTTTAAAATCTTTTCAGCTGCAAATACACCTAATTTCAAATCTCCCCAAATCCTACAACCAAGGTTCAAAATATCAATACACCCAATACGCCAGTAGGGGTGTATCAGGTGATACCGATAGTGTTTTCAACCCTTATTTTATTTTCTTTTTCAAAACCGGTTCAGGGGGGCGGTTTAAGGCTCCTCCACACCCTGAACTAGTCAGAACCCCAATACACCCCCTGTATGGGTGTATCAGGAAGCCACCGGCACGATACGTATCGGCCAATACGGGCCGATATGTATCGATACTTTGACCCTTGCCTACAACCATTCAGCAATGTTTTCCAAAAGATAGCTACAGGTTCAAAGAGCATTTTCAAAATCATATCAAGTGCTTCTCTTATAAGCCCAGCACGTGCAAGGGCATCAACCATGCATGCATAATGCACAGGAAGAGGAGGGACCCCATGATCAATCTCCATATCCATGTTGTGCATAACCTGTAAGGATAGAATTCCAGGTAATGAGGTCAGGTCTGGGAATAACCACAAAAATGCGCCTAGAATCATAGAAACTACTAGATCTTATAAACATACAAATGGCTGAATTTCCAACATGGGTGTTGATCTCAAATCCTCTCTTAATCAGTTGAGAGTAAAGTTGTTGACCAATGGATAGTGCAGCTAAATCTGCTGAAGCAGTCAAAGCACTAGTAAAGGAATGGGGAGTTGGCTGAATTCCTGCAGATAGCATTTCCTTGAAGAGAATCAAAGTATCAGCAACCAATCCAGTTTGCTAGAAACTTGATATAACCGAAGGCCAAGAAATGGAGTTGGGCTCTGGCATTTGCTTGAATAATTGCCATGCATCTTCAGTTCGTGAATCATGGCAAAGCCCAGAAATTATAGTGGTCCAGCTAATGACATCTTTGTCAGGCATGATTAGGAAGAGTTTCAATGCAATATGCATCTTTCTTCGTGGGTGTATGCCATTATCATGGAATTCCAAGAAACAGTGTTCCTGTGATACATTCTGTCAAATATCTCCCTTGCATCTCTGGTCCTATGGTTCTTGATGCAACCCCTGATCATTATATTGCAAGAAACACAATCTCGATGGTAAATGCAACCATCTCTGTCCTTTATATAGTTATCAGACAGTACACCCATATCGTATGGACTCCAATGATCAGATATTGATTTTGCATCGATTTTATGAAACATTATACTCAAGCTTGTAATTACCATATTCTCAAGTTTAGAGTACTCATCCCAAAAAGAACCACAAGTTCAACTACATAGAAGTCGTAGGTTATGTGTCCATAGACTTCCCTATGATTAGCTGGGACCGAACAAATGACCATATGGTTGCAGTTCAAAGCATCAATAAATTGAGCTACAGGCTTAACCCAACTATATCCAAAACTTGATAATGGTGATGGAGGTGTAATTCCATGCATTCTGAGCATCAAAAGGAAATCCTGCATGCTTTCAAGAAGGGAACCAGATGTCATGAAAAATCAATAATATTTTAAGGAATGCAAAATAGGCATTTCTTTCTTTTCCTACAAGTGATAGGAGAATATATTACTAGAAGATAAAGAGGGTGGAGAGAAAGAAGCTGCAAAATGAACTAAAAATTTCCAAATATATGATTCTTGTAGAGAAAAATGAAGAAAAAAGAAAGAAATATATCAAAATATCCTAGATCTTTCCATGGATGACCTAAAGAAATATAAAAAAGAAATCTTTCTCACCAAGCAAGCTGTCCGTTATCGAGCATTTGTGCATGAAGTTGCTATCACTTCTTTAATGAAATATTTAGAAACCGCATAAGAGATGATGATGACATTATAACAGAGATGTCCTCACTTCTTCAGGTACTTCAACTCAGTCTTTCTCTGATCTACTTTTCATTTGGAAATTGAGGGAGATACCCAAGTGGTGGTTGGATGGAGCAAAATGGTGAAGAAGTTCCATAGTTACATCAGCATGCAGTTAGGGAGGCCCAACCCTTAGCCCAAAGGATCAACACCTGGTTCAGGTGGATTAGATGATCTGACAATGATTTAACAGATTCACTAGCAAGGGCAAGGGCAAATCAAGATGAGTTGTACTGAGGCTCTACCTTTCTTGCATAGTTGTATAAAACTGGGAGTAGATGGGCCCATTGGATCAATCTTTACTCCTGAAGAGGAGCTTATAGTACTATTATATTCCATCTATATCTCATCAAACAAAATTCGAAAAATATAAAGCAACTACTCCATTTCCAAAAAGATGTAATACAAAAAGCCACCCCCTGTACAAAGAGGTTCTGTACACAGGATATACAATCAAAATAAATATCCTGAGCCCTATTCAAGACTGACCCATAACAAAAAGATTTCCTTTAGCTAAAAAAAAGTTGTAATTTTTCTCATTAAACAGAATACCCAACACTTTCTTGGTTACATCCTCTATTGAGCCCTGTTTACCCTCAAAAAATCCGCCATTTCTTTCACCCCACATAGCTCAAAAACAACTGCTGGCAGTATAATTCCCCGAACCACCTTACCCTCTTTGCTCAAACTTTTTAAACACCATGCACCAAGGAAGCTCTTCCAATCACCCGAAAAGCACCACTCCACCCCAAACAGATTCAACATACCAACCCATATCCTTCAGGTAAAACTGCAATGAAGTAGCAAGTGATCTGATGTTTCCATGCACCTGCTACACAGAACATCACAATCCATATTATCCATCTCCATGCCTCTTCTGATTAAATTCTCTCTTGTTAAAATTTTATTTAGAGCCACAGACCATCCCAAAAAAGATAGCAAGGGACCTTATTGTTTCACACCCTTGAACTGGGAAGTCACTAGTATGTCCCTTCGTTGATCTATCAATGATAAAAAAGAAAATGAAAAGAAAAAAGAAATTGATCAGTTATTCTGTTGCTTATTAAAGGTAAATTAGTCTTATGTTCACCATTATAACAGTCCATTATTGCACAACTTTGAATCTGTAAACAGAATGCAAGAACTGAAAATAGAAAATAGGAAGCATACATGAATCCCAGATCATTAATAAGAGAGAGCGAGAGAGGAAGAAGAGGAACATTTAGACGCCCTAGACTGATGTACTCTAGACTGTTGTACTCTCACAAACAAAGAAAATTCCCTGGTACACCAGAGCCACTATAACTATTGATTGAAGGGGGGTTGGGGGATGGAATGGTGGCTAAGAACACAATGAAAATAGTAGCCATCAATTCTTGCTCTAGTCATGGAAAAAGAAAGGCAACATGAAGAAGAAGAAGAAGAAGAAGAAGAAGGAGGGAGGAGCAGAGGGAGATATACCTGAGTCTACGATAAACGCTTCCATGTATTCGAAGCAAACAAGTAAGAGGCGGAGGTGGTGAGCAGACAGCAGAGTTGCAGAATGAAACCACCACCCTGTGGATAACCTCAACCCAACCAATCCTAACCCTCTTGACCCAAATTCGACCCTAACCCAAATGGACTGGGTTTGGATAGGTTGGGCTTTTGCCGCCGCGAAAGGTGGTTTCTGGTTTGATTGGTGAAAGCTCTTTCTATATCATACATTATTCATAATCATACCTTTTCCAGCATCATGGTTTTCCAAAGACCAAATCTTGGACCAGAAACCCTCACCCGCCAGATTTCCCCCTCTCAATGGCAGTAAAACCACTTCGACTCTAGGAAACCAGAACCAAAATATAAACAAAAAAAGCTCAAGTTTTTCAGTAACCTTAAGCAACAACTTCCTTTGAAACAATCGCCTGAATATTTGTCTTTTGAATTATTTGAAAGCTCAAGTTTCTCCTTGCCAATATTTGTTTTTTTGAACTATTTTAATTCATTCACTTTTTGAACTTGCTATGATAAAACTGTAAATCCAAATGTAGAGGACTTGAGGTGATTGACATGGGGCTACTCGAGACATGAAACAGGTCAGCTTTGGAAGAGCGGACAAGTAGATTGAATACATTGTGCTAAATCTAGGGGTCGCAATTGGGCGGAAACCATCTAACCCATTAACATTAAATTAAATGGATATTTATCAAAAAAATATTAAATTAAATGGATGAATTCAACCCAAACCACCTTTGATCCAATCCAATCCACCCAACCGTTAATCTATTATTCATTAAATGTGACCTATATAACTCGTAGAAAAAAACATAAAATCATAAATTATAAAAACATAGAAAATTGGGGGAAATAATATAAATTAAAGAAAAAATAAAAATTACAGAAAATAATAATAATTGCACAAAATTATAAAAACAGAAAATGCAATAAACCAACAAAAATTGCAAAAAACAAAAAAAAAATGCTAAACGATATAACAAAAATTATAGAATAACATAAAAATGAACAAAAATAACAGAAATTGCAGAAAAATTACAAAAAATCATAAGAATGCACAAAAATAACAAATGCTACACAATAATATAACAGAATTTATAGAAAATTGTAGAAAATGAAGAAAAATATAAGACCGTGAAATTTCATCTTCTGCGTCACACCATCGTCATGTAGAGATACCAAATTTTGTAGAAATTGCAGAAAAATAACAAATGCTATACCGTTGCAACATTCTCATTGCCTCGGCCTTGCCTAAATAGAAAAGATTGGTTTTTGGAAAAATCACCGTAGAGATACCAAATTTTGAAGTTCTCTGATCTTTCTCTGAGTATAAAATTCAGAAGTACTCTAATCTATGGTCACAGAAGGATTTACAACCAGTTAGAATTTTAAAGAAACCCTAACAGTGGCTTTAGCCAACTACATTGGCGCTCTTTGCAAACCACATAACACAAATACTCAAATCTCGGAAACCACTCCAACTAGGGGTGGATTCGAGCCTAGCCGAGCCAAAAAGTTTAAGGCTCGAATTCGGCTCAAGACTGTTCTATAAGACTAGAGCTCGAGTTTGAGCTCGGTTCGAGCCAAAACCTTGAGCTCGAGCTCGGTTCGGCTCAAAATCTATTTTGAGAAAAAATATTTTATAAAAATAAAAAATTATATATAAAAATATTTTTTATTTGATGTTTAAAAAATTTAGAATTATAATATTTTTATTATATATATTATTTTCTATATATATATATATTCGAGTCAACTCGCGAGCCGAGCTCTAGTAGGCTCGAGCTCGGCTCGTTTCATAATCGAGCCAATGAATTGGGCTTGAGCTTGGCTTGAAGCTCAGTTGAAACCGAGTCGAGCCGAACTCGATGCCCACCCCTACCTACAACTAAGGGTGTCAATGAACTAGTTTTGGATTGGACCCCGTCCACTCCAAAATCAATTTGGACGGATTGGACGAACTAACAAGACATATTAGATTGGACCAATCTGGTATAAAATATTTATTAGATTGGATTGGACCTGGTCCGTCCATAGCAAATTTATATTGGATTGGGTTAGATTAAGCCAATATCTGGTCCATTGATACAAGATAAGAATATATGTGTCAATGGTCCGAGTTTGGATTGAAACCAATCCAAATCAAAATGAATTTGAACAGATTAAACGGTTCAGACATTGAATTAGACCGGTCCAAATTGATCCAAAACATTCATTGGATTGGATTGAACCTGATCCATTTATAATGGACTCTCACATTGGACTGGATCGGATTGGACGAAACCCAGTCCAATTGACAGTCCTACCTGCAACTCATATGTCCGCATTTTTCCATTCCATCTAAATCTGAACTATTGTTTATTTGGTTCACATACAACCACAACCACATCTGAAATTTCATTTACGTTTCTGTGAAGAATTAAAAAAAAAAAAAAAAGAAAATAAATTCTAGTAAAACCCTAGAACATGCCTGTGATTGGAATGAATCCTTTTTGCCTCAAAATCAGGAAAGCGGTAAATGCAACAAAGGATGAAACACTGTTGGTTTGCCTCAAAATCAGGAAAGCGGTAAATGCAACAAAGGATGAAACACTGTTGGTTTGTAATACAACAACCTTTGTGTTGTGTCCCAAATTTGGGCTTTGACACTCTTGTAGACATCTATGGTGTCCACAGAATCCAATCTGAACTCATTTAAAACAAAGCGGGAAAGTGAGAGAAAGAGAGAGGGGGGGCGGGTTAAAGTTGACTAAGTATACTGTTTGACTATTGTCTAACGCTACCCTTATGTTTCAAAAAATTACCATTATTGTTAAATATTGATGGAAGGATTAAAATGTCAGTTTTACCCTTTCATAAAAGTAGTTCTCTCTCCTTTCTTAGTTTTACCCTTCCGTTAGATAGTGTATACCCTTAGCTCCAATCAGACTGATGTACATAAATATTTATCTATAAATGAATAAGGTACATTGTTGTTTCATGTTTATTAGGGTTGTTCGTAAGAAGACCCAACCCAACCAAGCCAACCAACCCAGATCGATTCAACCTGAGTCGGCCGGGTTTTCTTCAACACCGGTCGGTTTTGGGTTGTAAAAAATCACAAACCGATGGTTCGGGTTGGTTTCGGTTTTCATACCGACCCAAACCAAATCGACTTAGTAGTTAGTGGTTAGTTCCTAGTTAGTAGTTACAACCTACTTAGTTCCTACTTAATTAAGTTGTCTCTATCCTAGTTACAACCTAACTTAATTTCTAGTCTTCTAGTTAGGAATGACATTAATGGCAAGTATTGTAAGACAACTAGACAAGGAATTTTTTTGGAAAAGTTTAAAGAAAAGAATCAAAGAATCCTAGTTTCTATGGTCTTTTACACAAAATAGGCAACCAATTACAATTGGAATTAGGTGTCATTTTTTACTTAGATTAGAAGGTTTTATGAAATATACAAATTTCAGTCTTCTTTCTCTAATACAATTTGACTTTCTATTTTCTTAATAACTTGATTGGGGGGTGCTTATGTGCTTTCCTTACTCGATGATGTTGCTTGCTATTTCTTTGACGTCCAATCTACCAATTTATTACCATGGTTGAACTTAGAGCCAAAACTGACCCAAATCGACCCAACCCGATTCAAACCGACCAAGTCGGTTTTGCTTAACACAGGGTTGGTTTCGGTTTCAATTTCAAGTAACCCGACCAGGTCGGGTCGGTTGGAAAAATCTCAATAAACCGACCCAACCCAACCCGTGAACAGCCCTAATGTTTATATTGTTATGTTTTCTTGTTAGTTTAAAATGTTCTTAGCCATTGGATAAATTTGTGGAGTATATCCTGACAAGGCCAACATTGATGTGCTATCAAATAGTTGGGACAACTTGTTTTAGTTGTTAGGGTTAAGCCCCAAGCACGGGTAGTGGGTGTTTGGAAGAAATACTGAACCTGGACCAATTTCCAGTTATGCTCTACACCTTGGAAATAAATGGGCAAAACTGGAAAATTACATTTTACCTTGGACTTCATTATGGTAATGCACTAGGTGTTGTACTGGGTTGTCTTTGATATGCCAACTAGTGAAATCCATCAAGGGTCAAATACCTAGGCATGTTGGGGTAGTTTGAGAATTCATCTGAGTGGGTGATCATAGTGATAGGATCAGCAGTAGATTTCAATTGTATTTGAAATTTGATTTTGCAAAATGTATTTATATGTTATACTACTATTTTATGAAAAAGGTTTTAATCCTAAGATCCATTTGAGCAAAGAGTGTGACACTGCACCTTGCAGCCATGGGAGAGGTCATTTTCTATCGGGCAGTGTTGTGATCATTATGGGCCAAGAGGTTAAGTGTAAAAGACCATTACAATGTTAATTATCCGATGGGCTTTATCTCATATAAGTCCATTATACTTGGGTCTTCATAGGATGGTTGAATCCAATGATCATTTAGATGTAAATATTGGACTAAACTGAACCAGTGTTGATTGGACCAAGGGGTTCATTGCCTTGAGTAGTGAATTCAACTTAGCCTCTTTCAGGGGTAGAACTAAACCCTTATGTTCCCCACGCCATACAATAGCATGCCCAAAGTAGCACAATCCGGTCACTCCTATTCGGCGCTCGCGTGGCTCCTGAGAGGTACCTGAAACGAGAGGAAAGAGGAAGAACTCCCGGGGGGTTTCCTGGCAGGAACGCTCTGATGCTTAAGTTAGTATTGTGTGCAAGAAGCTGAAGGAGAACGAAAACTAAGAGTGCAGGTTGCGCTAGTCATTCAAGATACCTTGTTCCTTGAGAATAAGCTCCTTATAACTGAATTTCGTTGCTTCAGGCCCTCTGACTTCTAGTAGGGCGGGTATAACCGCCACTGTCAGTCTACCACAACCGTTACAGGCAGGGCTGAGGTGGCACGCGCGGGGCCGTCGTGCAGGGTACGTGTCTGTCAGGTGTGGAATGCCTTTCTAAAGGTGGCAGGCGCGGCGAGGGAACATGCCTGCTGCTCGCAGGTTTGTCGGGTACGGTGGTCGGGCAGGAAGCCCTCCTATGGTATACCGAACTGTTCTCCTGCGAATTACCCTGAGCTGGGCTGTCCTTTGAGTGATGGGCTGCCTGTAGCCGGTTACGCCGAGCTAGCCGACCCGAGGTCTTTGTGCCTCGGGGCGTCCGAAGAAGAATTGGTGCGTTCTTGCTTGGGAGTGGCCCGAGGTCCATTGGGAGGAGCTCGGGTCTCAAAAGGGGTCAGGGTGCCCCGAACTCGGGACCCCCCGAAGTGCCTTAACCCCGGGGAGAAGGTGCGGGCAAGGCAACTTTCGGCGAGTAGTTTACCTGCCGAGTTGCCATGTTGAACTCGATGGGACTTCCCCTCCAAGTTGTGCTCACGTCCGTTGCGCTGTCATGCTAAGTCACTGCTTGAGCAAGGTCATGCCCACGTGTACCTGAGCTACGAGGTCGGGCCAAATCACCCTCCATCAATTGCCCCCCACTCCCTTCGCTGGCGGCGGTGACCCAGCGCGGGGAGGTCATGACGCGCCGGGTGGATTTGGCGTCGGTGTTTATGCTGCGTTGTCGCGCGTTCCGTCCAGCCGTATCGGTCTAGCGCCCGGCTCGACCGAAAAGAGATTCGAGTCACGTCCAGATTATGCGCGGACTTCACACGACTTGGACTTCGCAGACGTCAAAAACGCCCTAAATCGTTTTCGCCTCGAAGAACCCGCGGTCACGGCTATAAATAGAGGGTCCCTTGGCCATTTTCTTCGCCACAAAGCCTTCGTCGTTAGCGTTTGAGCTCGCGCCAGGGGTCTCTTAGCTCGGTTCCTCCAGTTTGTTCTGTTCTTCCAGTCCGGTTGCGTTTCTTTGGTGAGTCCTCCCGAGCTTCCTTTTCCCTTCTAGTTTGTTTCTTTCTTTTAGTTCGGTATGTCGTCTAGTGTAGACAGTTTTATCGACGAGCCCGAGGTAGGTACCTCGGCTCGGGATGTCCCCTCTGCTGCCCAGCCATCCGAAGTACGGGTGGCTTCGGGTCATCTGGCGTCCACCTCCCACCGAGGTCAGGAACTAGATCAGTTCGGGCCTTCCATAATGACCTCGGAGAGGCTTTAGGATCTCATATAGAGGTTCCGCCTCCCTAGCGAGTACTCATATAGTCTTCCCACCGACAACTTCCATGGGAGCATGGTCCCAACGAGATCGTGATCTTCAGGGAGCAACTGATAGCCGGGCTCAGACTTCCACTTCACCCTTTGATCGTTGAGGTGTTGGTACATTTTAACATCACCCTGGACCAACTCCACCCAAACTCCATACGGAATGTGGTGGGGTCCATTTCTCTTTGTTTTGACCGTTCCCTCTCCATAGATTTAGATGTTCTCAGTACGATTTTGGTTATAAAGAAGAGTGCTTCGGGCGCTCTCCCCGGGCATAGGCGGTTTTACTACCTGTCCCCCCGCCCGGGTTTCAAACTCATGCGCAAGCTCCCGAGCAAAGTTCCAACTTGGAAGCGGGACTACTTCGTAGTCCGGAGCAGTACGGGGTGGCCCTTCCCCACCGATTGGAGGATAGCCGTTCAAGACCCTGGTGTCATCCTGTACGGGAAGACCAAGAAGGAGCTCCAGTCACTGGCTCAGCTCGGGTTGCATTATAAAGACTTCACTTCTGAGGAAAA